CGCATCCGCTCGTCAGACGGCATTCATGCTTCGGGTTGTAACTATCATTACGTCGACCTGGATCCGATGCCCGATCGAATGAGGGTCGAACATCTGGAAAAGAATGTGCCGGAGCTTAGGCAGACAATTGCAGCTTTGACAAGAGATGGCAAACTCACTGACACTCGTGTGGCTGAGGAGCTAGCTAAATTTACTCAACACATGGAAACGAAGTTGACCGCGGCGAAAGCAGAGGCAGAGAAATTAGAAGAGGAAGAGAAATCGAACTTGGAAAAGAGCGGAACCGGAACACCTGTAGTGGAGAAGGCCGAATCTGACAACTCCGAGTCGAATCCCGAAGCTACGTTCAAAGCCATACTGGAAGCTGTTACTGCAAAGCCGGCAAAGAGGGGCCTCGTACATGTGGCGGACGTACAGAGATCTGTCGGGGGCCATTTGAAGGACGCTAAATTCAACAACAATGATAACAACATGACATGGCGGGAGCGCAGGAGAAAGAACGAATTGGAACCCGAGGAAGGTGAAGAAGAGAAACTGAAGCAAACGAACGCAATTTACCTTCGTCTGAATGCATGGTACAATGAAAGTGATGACTTAGACAGTGAAAGTGATTAGTTATTGGCTTGGCTTTGTAGAGGTGGTAATCTGATGACAAATGAAACAAGCATAATTAGGGCATTTGTCCAGCAAACAAAGATATTTTTGGGTACCTGAGCAGTGTAATCAGTCAAGCATCAGTGTTAGAATCTTGGAATTTTACTGTGCAAAAATAGTGAACATATTTTTTTTCTGTCTAGGTCAATCATACTCATTGATATTCATAATTATGAGTCCTGTAGGTACTTCGAGTCATAAGTATACCTAACCTGTTAGTAACACTGGGAACAATTTTGTGTAATTCCAAGGAATTACAGAAGAATTACAGAGGAATTATCATAGGAATTACAATGAAATTATTGTATTTCCACTGTAATTCTGAATTTTACAGTAATTCCTAACATAATTCCCTTGTAATGTTTCTGTAATTCCTTGGAATTACACAAATTTGCTCCCAGTGTAACATGTTATGACAGTTGAATCCTGTTGTTGTGCTGACCTGTAACCTGTTAGGTCGCAATAACAGGTTATAACAGTATTTAATCGTATTAGGTTGGAGCCTTAGTACTCACATGAGGATTTGGTTTGGTTAGAACCACCAATACTCTGGCCAGTGAATATAGTCAAGGGTTCTTCGGATATGCATATCCAACGGAACCAAGAGTGGAAAGAATCAGAAAATCAATACATTCACATTTCAAGAATGTAAACCAGTTCCAGTCGGGAACCTAAACTTGAACTTGAACTCGATATCAAAAATGGGACACATAGACGGACACTCTTCACTTCAATGACCTAGTTTTCTACTATCTAGTACAAAAAAGATATAGTGATACTTATGCTTAGAATGACCGGTTTATGTTTGGGAACAGATATATTATTGGAAATATAGTTTGAAACATCTCCTAACCAACCATGACCAGCACCAGGACAAAGCCAGACATTGGTACTTATGTTACGAGGCCGATTGAAAGGAGGACTCGTCCTTACTTATTCCCGTCGCTTAGCGCATTGTGTGGAAACCCATTTGGTATATCAAAATCTTATCACGTTCATGTGACCTCACAGATTCACACATCTCGGCAACTCGGCATACATCATCTTTTCAGCTTTGAATTGGAGGCCTCGTACCTGCCGCACGAAGTGACGGCCCTATTCCTTCATTCCCGTCGCTTAGCGCATTGTGTGGAAACCCATTTGGCATATCAAAATCTTATCGCATTCAGGTGACCAGTTCGTCTTTTGTCTTTTCACAGAATCACACATGGCAACTCGGCATACATGTCTTGTCCCTACTGGTCGTCCGGGTGTTCCGACCGGGGACCCTGCCGTGTAATAACTAACTACATTGTCTTTTCAGTTTTGGAGGCCTCGTACCTGCCGCACAAAGTGACGGCCCTATTCCTTCATATTTATGTGCTCACAGCTGATGGGCTAGAAATGCACACTTGGATGTGTGTGATAATCACAATACCACAGCTCCCATAGATCTGTTCCTGGAATCCTGCAGGAAGACTCAAGACAAGGCAATAAATATGTTCATGAAGAAAAGCTTGAACACTACACTCAACAAAAGTGTACTACTAGTTGCTGTGATGACCCAGGCCTGCTTTTGTATTCCGGCTAACATCAACCACTTGGAAAAGCCTGGCAGCTTGTGGCTTGATCGGCTTTCACAGTTACAAGCTGAAAAAAGGCTCAGCAAGTTCGCGTGAAAACTTGACTAATCACGAGGCTTAAAAGGGCCTCGTAATTACCGGCCCAGGTCCAAACAGGAGCACATCGGTGATGGACTCGGACTCAAAGTTTCGTGTTCATGACGAACATGTCAATGGGACTAGGTCGCTCTGAGTGAGCAGGGTGAAATTCAGACTGAATCTTACTACCAGTCAAGGTAGTTAAATGCCCCTACCTCCAGTGATAAGTCCAACATGCAGCGGAATCAACGTGCGGGACCACACCAGGTACCATTCCATCCATGTACCTGTGGGCCCTGTGCTATGTGTGGAGTTCTATATCTGTTTTGAATGGGAGAACGTATGAACAGTTTTTCCAAGTCGGAACTTCTTATGTAAAATCGTATGATAGTCTAAGTATAAGTATCAGATAGACTCAGATTTCGCATGAAACTCCCCCTTTGTTTCTTTCCTTGAATGTCTCTAGAAGCGGGAGACGATGCTGTTTCTCTCAATGACCAGTAACAACGTTTTCTTCTTTCTTACTTTTACATTCTTCTTATCTTCTCGTCAACAGACGTATAGAAAACTATCTTCACCTTATTGGATTTGGTCTGTACGCTGTACCCTAACATCCGACATCCCTTACTGACACCACAAACTACTCAGCTGTTTTACTTTGGGACTTTGTCCTGACTTTCTGTGGGTAAACTCCCGTTTCTCTCAGTGGTCCAAAACAGGTTCATCCTGGAACACGCGCATACAGCTATGGAAGTCGAATACCTATGGAAGCGTCCGAGCAATTTATCGACCAGACTATTCTTCTTCAATCGTTACCTTTCTTTGACAGGAACATCAGTCGTAACAGTCTCTCTTTTTTCACCCTTTCTTTCCCCTTCGGTAAGCATCACATTCTATCAAGTCACGTCTGATTTGCTCTTAGCCTCATTGGGTGTCATTCAGAGGTGAGCCTATGATCATAATTATTCAACATGATATGCAATTAAGTCAAGAATTCCTATCAAATGCTCTAGTTGTGGAGCCCTTCACATCTTCCGTGAAGTCTTGCTAGTCGTAATAGAAGTCGTTGTTTCAAGTGAGATTCTTTCCATATCTTATACCAGTTTAATTGCATTACAACAAACTCTTCTCAGTCTATCTCACATTCCGCATCTATGTTGTCTACAGTCAGAACAAGAAAGTATTTATTTTCATGATCTCGGTGGGTTCTGTCTTGGCTGGACTTGCACTGGTATGTACACATAGATTTCTTCAAAAGTATCTGATCCAATAAATAAGTTCTTGTTCATGTTCATGTTCATTCATTTTTTTCAGTTTGCCCTGTTTTTTGGACCATCCTCAAAATCCGCAGTCTCTTTAACACCATTCGGTTGTCATACAAATCTGGACTTCCTACCTCAGTAAGTACCTCTGAACTAACACAGATCCTTCTTATTGCTAATAAGTCCTGCTCATAAATGAAGTGCCGCCCGTAAGCCTCTGTACTGATACCCTGGTATTCCTAACGCCATTTACCATTGCTGTTGCTCTCGGAACAGAGGAAGCCGCATCATGGGAAGCGTTATTCGTGTATGATGTTCTGCTGTTTATCATGCTAGTCCGCAGAGGGTACAAAGTCTATCGTTCTTCACAAAGAATACCAATCCTAGATATTATCCTTCGAGATGGTGAGTAGCAAATTTTCTCAAGAGATGATGCTATTGACTGATCAAATCCCAGGTGCTAGTTATTTTGTGTGAGTATCCCTCGCCATTCGTTGATTTGATTATTTACTGATACCACTGTTTCTAGGGTAATGGCCCTTGCGAATTTGGCCAACATATTTACGTTTTACGTATGTTTGACTCTACTCTAGTTTTTTTCTTCAATCCCAAACAGCTGATATTGAATCTATCATTGATAATCTAGTTTGCCGGGGTACACCTTCTATCTTTTCAGTGACATATGAGCTTAATCTTATTCTTTTCTGTATTAGCCCTACACACGCGGTGGTCTCTCAACATTTTCCAGTGCGTAAGTTAAGCTCTGATTTCCGGGCCCTTTCTCTCCTTCTTTCATCCTTAAATTTCAAAGCTCAAGTTATTACTTAAAACCTCTGTCTATGTTTCCTCAACCCCCCTCCCTCTCACAAACAGAATATCAGTGACAATGATGTCCCGACTCATCCTCAATCTTCACGCTAAAGCAACTCGGAACCATAATCCTGTCGAGTCCATTAGATTGAGCAGTATACGAGTCGCACGGCATGAATCGAACAGCTTAAGCACTAACTCGTCGAATGTATCGTCATCATCAACGTCGATGTCCACGAGCCCACAGCATGATGTTCGAGATCCTCGTAATTTAAACTCAGTGAAAGGGGCAGCGAAAGGTTTTGAGATTGGAGTTGGACTGGATACTGTGGATGAAGAGCGATAAATAGATATAGATATATGTAAGCATTGTGAATTATAGTAATCGTTGCGTTCAGGTTTGTGTATACTTAGTCTGTTTCTCAGACGGTTTGATGTTTCCATGTTGTTGGTCAATGTTGTTGGTCATATCGCCACCGGGGCTGTAGCAGATCAAAAAGATAAAGATATTTTGTTGGAAGTACCTAGGGTATAATAGAAAAAATTCCACTGAATTAAGGACTGTAGAAAGCAAAAAAAATATCGGCATATCTTTTAGACGTGATTTGTCTAAAAACTTCTATATCCTCAACTCAAACCCCCAGCGGGACTCGAACCCGCAACCTCCAGATTTCACAGAGTCTCTCAATCAAAATCCCATGTGCTAACCACTACATCCGTCGTTATTTTCGAACTCTCCTTACGCAATATTACGTTCTGGACTTTATCGGACCTCTATGGATGCGGACTGCTCTTTCCCAGGCAGTATCGACGACATTTTGGGTTTGACTAGTGTTGCTGAAGAGCGGGATGTGGAGTTTGAAGTTACGGTGAGGCCTGGTTCCCCTGAAGTTGAGATGGCAGATGGAACCCAAGAGACGGAAATCGACTCCAACGACCCCTCCCAAACTTCTCCAACTAGTGACGACGAACCAGGTTCCACCCTGACGTCGAACCCCCGCACTGCACCTTCACCGAGCAGTACCACTGGAATACCGCCGCAGAATAGAACCATTATTACCGGGAACTCTCTCCCGACCCAGCTCTCTTTTACTGCCCTCTCTACACCTTCCACATATCGACCATTCTTTGCACCTCCTCCCACGCTCACTGTCGCAGTACCTTCACCCTCTTCCACTTACTCTCCTGCACCATCAAGCCCTTCTTCTGTTTTGATGACACCGGTTACCAATAGGGGTCTGATCCGACCTCCATCGCCTTCGCCCACAACGGATCGTTCCATGCGTGGTCAGAGCCGACAGTCTTTCAACAACCGACAAATCAACTGTGTATCGCCCTCACCGTCGGTCTCCTCACCGTCTGTCTCAAAATCTAAAGGCAAGCAACCAGAAATGTCGCCCTCTCCCACTGAAGGACATCGTCGGGCTCTCAAAAAGTCCAGCTCGGTCCCAGGTCCTCTCTATCCATCCTCTTCTCGCCTCGCTCCGGGCTCTGGTTCGGAAACAGCTCTGGACTCAAGGCACAGACTGGAAAGAAACGTTGTCCTCGTAGAGAACGACGTCCAAACCTGTCAAAGTGACCTTCGTCAGCTTCAGGATCGGCTAAATGGGGTGTCGGACGCTCTCGCCATGGCATTGAATCGTACGCTAGACCAGCAAGGTGCCCTTCTGAACGCGATTGCTTCTCTAACTCGGGATGATCATATATCCCCATCTCCGGCAATCGATGGTGAAGTTGTCGCTACCACGGTGATCCCAACTCAAACCCAAACTCAAACCCTCAACTCGTCAGGCGATACCGCTGGTCTAGCTGACGTACCGGGTCCATCACTGACTGACTCTGCTGGCACGGGTGGTCCCACTATTGTGGATTCACCTCCTTCTTATCGTACCCGTCCACGTCCAGTAAATGTCGTGGTTCGTCATCCTCGCGGTGGTAGACCCGCTCTTCTGGGTCGCCTCTCTGCTCCTCCAGGAGCAAACAGTTCTCTCCTTAACCGCCTCTCGACTTCTCCCGAGTCTCTCCTGGATCGTCTCTCACCATGTCCTGACACTCCTCAACTACTTTCAACATCGTCAGCACTGCCCTCTTCCCAATCCGCTGGCTCGTCTGCAGTGAATAAGCGCAAGCGGCCAGTAACTTCAGACGACTCGGACAATGTCGATGACTCCACTCCGCGTAAATCGTTAAAGAGTAACGCCCTGGTCATGAATCGCTCTCCCTCTGCTGGTATCGCCGTTCTTCTGGGACCTCACCCCGATGCCCATCGCCGGTTCCCTACTCACTTTCGTGACTTTCGCCCAATCCTAAACCGGTGGATTGATCTGGCTGAATCAGCGCTACGTACCTCTCAACCGGGCCTTTCGTTTCCAAGACCTACAAGATCTCGCGTTGTTCATTCTCGCAACTATCTTGAACTAAGCTTTGACTCTACTGAAGCATCGGACTGGTTCATTGCTGCCTGGACGGCTTACTCACACGGCATTCACGATGCTCGAGGGGTCACTGCAAACCGTCTGGCTGGAAGTGCTTGACGTCTCGGGGTGAGGGACCCCAGTCTACTGTGTCCAAGTGACAACAACAACTTGCACTCCTCCGATGATATGGCTTCTGTACCTGTACCCACTGTTAATTCAGTACCTATACCTACTGTTAATTCAGTACCTATACCTACTACTAATTGTCTACCTACTCCCACTGTTAGTTCAGTACCAGTTCCCACTGTTAGTTCAGTACCTACTTCCACTGTTAATTCAGTACCTACCTCCACTGTTAATTCAGTACCTATTCCCTCTGCTAATTCAACTTCAGTGCCTCCGAGAAATGGCGATGCGTTTACTCTTAATGTGAAAAGCTGGAATCTGGGTGGACACTTTGACAGCAATGTCCTTCATCCCGAATTTCTTAAACTATTGGACAACACAGACATACTTCTGATTCAGGAGACCCATCTCTTCGAAACCGAAGAACTCCACATACCCGATGGATTTATTGTCTTTTCACGCCCCCGAAAATCTGTCAGTCTGGATTATGCATGGGGTGGGGTCGCGACTTTGGTGCGAAAGGAGCTCAAAGCATCACTGAAAGTAGAGTTCTGCGGACCGGACCTTATCACTATCGATGTTAACGGAACTCTTTTCATGAACTCCTACGTGCTGCCAAGTCACACAAGAACAGATTGGCACTCTTGGACCGACACACACCCGTTTGATGCTCTCAAAGACAGAATCAACCTCACGAATCAGCTAGGCCTGCCCTTCTTCTTGATGGGTGATCTTAATGCGCGGATATCCCACCAGCGACCTTGCTCCAGTCACCCTTCTCGTGCATCTCCTGACAAGATCACTAATAAGAGAGGCAGGGCCTTACTCGATATTTGTAATGCTTGCGACCTCACTATTCTGAATGGAACTGAGCACATCCCCGGCTCTAATGCTGGCTGGACCTCATTCCAGAATCGGGGTCTTGACGGAAACGGAAAGTGTATTTACGAATGCGCAGTAGTTGATTACGGCATCTGCAGCAGTCTTTGCACACCATTCATCAGCTCGTTCTCTACGTCTGGTCGGACGAAATGGTCGGACCATGCTCTCCTCTCCCTGTCAGTTATCACGCCTGGTGGTAGACTACCTCGTCCAACACCCTCATCTCGTACTCGGCGCCCTGTTTTTCAGCTCCCCTTAGTCACTCACCTCGATAACCTCTTAGCGGACATATTGAAAAAGGTCAAACCGTCCCTCGATGAGGAGCTCATCAAGTTGTATGGCTGTGCACCAATAGCTGATGCAAGTCAGGTTACAAATCCATTGGTCGTTCACACCGACGGATCTTGTCGGACTGCAGGTGGACATGATTCCTGTGCAGGCGCAGGCATTTACTTCGGACATCGTAATGCACTCAATAGGTCTGAACGAGTATCTGGGCCCCAGACCAATAACCGAGCTGAGCTCTATGCAGTTCTGACTGCACTGCAGCTCGCACCATTGGATCGCCCACTCCACGTTTACACTGACTCCCAGTACGTTATCAATTCTCTGACTCACTGGGCGCCTATGCACGCCAAATGCGGATGGATATGCACAAATGGGGATGTAATGAAGTCGATAGTCGCCTGGATTCGTGCTAGGTCCGCTCCTCTCCATTTTTTCTGGGTGAAGGGTCACTCCGGTAACAAGCATAACGATGAGGCTGACCGCCTCGCTAATGCTGGCTGCCTGAAGCCGTTACCGGTCCCACACTCGGATTCCATGCTCAAACCTGCTCCTGCTGCATTCCTCTGTAATCCCACTTCTCAATTGAAGATCCGAACCTCACTCCCAAACCCAAACGACACTCACAACAACGTTGCCAAATCGGGTTCTTCCAAGAACTTCTCATATAAATCCATAAATAACCGGGGACGCGCTTTCAAGCGCAAACTGCAAGACCAGATTCTACGTCGCCTCATGGAAGCCTCTTCAAATCCCGGTTTCTTTTGGCGTTTGTACAAGAAACTACGCTACAAATGCCTACCCCCAAGTGCCGTGTCCATGGACGATCTTTACTCCTGTTTCCGCCCACGTCTCAATCCACCTGACCCTTCCAAGATGCACTTCAACGAGGCTCGTCTCCTTCGAGAAAATGAGCGTGCTGAGAAAAGGGGTCCCCGATCGCAACCCTCTGTCTTTCAAACTCTCAATGAACAGATCTCGACGTCGGACATCGAGGAAGTGAAGGCATACCTGAGGCGCGGAAAACACTCGGAAACTACTGGGGTTGATAATAGCACCTACTCCTTAATCATGGACACTGATAACGAGATCCTGTGTGAACTATACCAGGAGTGCTTTGCCTCGGGTGATGTCCCTTCAGCATGGCTCACTACTCTCCTTTCGGCTCTCCCTAAAACAGGCAAGGATACCTCTGATGCTAACAACTATCGCGCGATTGCTCTCGAAAGCTGCTTACTCAAGTTTGCGACCCTCATCGTACTCAATAAAATAACTTCAGCAGCGGAGCTCGGCGGTATTCTACCTCCATCTCAGAATGGTTTCCGTAGAGACTACCGCACCAACAACAATGCTTTCATTCTTCGCACCCTAATCGAGAAGTCAAGATCTCGAGGCGAAACTTTACACGTCGCTTTCGTGGATATCTCCAACGCCTTCCCTTCCACAAATCAGAATGCGCTGTGGAACCGACTGGAGGACCTGGGTCTCACGGGTAAATATTACGACTGGCTTCGGGCGGTGTATGCACGTATGAGGTACATCTTAACACTAGACGGGGAGCTTTCGGAGGAATTCGAGGCGGGATCTGGTGTTCTTATGGGCGACCCTGCATCCCCTATGCTATGGAATCTTTACCTGTCCTCCTTTGCACTCAAGTTCGACCCCGACGATGCTGATCTGCTCGGTACCCCTATATCTCACCTCGAGCATGCGGATGATATGGTGATAATATCACGTTCAGCTTCTGGGCTACAACGTCATCTCGACGAACTGCAGTCTTGGTGTTTTGACAACTTCTTGTCCCTCAGTGCATCAAAGTCTGAGGTAATGATTTTCGGTAATCTGGGTCCTGGACCCCTCCCCAATTTCTCTATCAATGGTGCACCTCTGAACGTTGTCGAGAGGTTCAAATACGTTGGTGTTACGTTCACTTCCACTCATAAGGACATCTTCATCGACTTCTACACTGGAAAGGCACGTGCAGCTCGGACCTCAGCTCAGCTGGTACTTGGTA